TAAGAATTTTAAACTTTTCTTTAGTTCTACGTGACATTCTAACTGTGACTGTCATAATACTGTTTGCTTTTACTGCAATAAAATACACATATTTGTATTCAGCGATGTCTCACATGTAAAACAGTACCCCATATGTGCAGGTTTTATGGTGTTTCAGAGAGTTACAGGGTCATATATAGCATGTTACAGTTTTCAGTTTTTTCACATTGAAATTCACCAGATTGGTTATGTTGCCTTTGAGACCGTATGGTAGCCCAGGAATGAGAATTACCCCCATGATGGCATACCATTTGCAAAAGTAGACAACCCAAAGTATTGCAAATGGGGTATGTCCAGTCTTTTTTAGTAGCCACTTGGTCACAAACATTGACCAAATTTAGTGTTAATATTTGTTTGTGTGTGAAAAATGCAAAAAACTAATTTGAATGCCAATTTTGGCCATTGTTTGTGACTAAGTGGCTACTAAAAAAGACTGGACATACCCCATTTGCTATGCCGTCCATGTAATTGTGAGGTCCTTGCAAGGCTCTCGCGATCACATGGCCCAGGGGGGCTGAAACCAACGGAGGGGGACTCCCTGGGCTCCAAGGTAAGTCCCCACACCTTGATCTCCGGCGTGGGATCACCAGCGACTGCATAAGTACCCTGGATGGCGGGAACGTGCTAAGCCATCCGCCGGCGTTTAGAGCCGGTTCCCTAAGGACGACATAGCACGCCCGCTGTCCTTAAGTGGTTAACAGAAGATGAAACTCTGAAAAACATTTTCTCTGAAAAACCCATTTTGGCCCACCAAACCTCCAACAAAAATTAATCAACAGGAAGCTACCCACTGATGGGAAGAATAAAGAAAACAGGACCAGTCAATGCAAAAAACCTCACTGCAAACTGTGTCAGCACATATGCACAGAAAACACAGCCACACACAACAATAAAACCTACAGCATTAAAGGATCATACTCCTGCTCATCCAGTAATGTGGTATACACCTAGGATGCTACATTGGGGAAACCACCCAGCAATTAAATGGCAGAATGAATATGCACAGATACTCCATTAAACACCACAAAGAAGGATCGTACTGCACTCCTGTGGGACACCACTTTACCCAGTGGGAATCCACTTTACCCAGCGGGGCCACTCAATGAAGGACCTAAAAATCAAAGTACTGAAAGAGAGTTTTAAAAATACCCAAGAAAGAAAGCCAGAATGATCAAATTGTTTAACAGCAAGAATAGAGGACTAAATATTGATTTGGGTTTCCTGTCTCACTACTAACACTTTACATGAACATTCCCCCACATTATCTTACTGTTCTGTCATATGGATCAACATGTGTAGACCTATGCTTTTCCATACTCTTATGCATGTATGCTTATATATGTGACTTTGCATTAATATTTGTGTATATGAGTTAATGTGCTTATGTGTATGCATATATATATATATGTATATATATATATATATATATATTTGTGTATGTATAAAGTGTGTATATACATGCATGCATGTATTTATATGTGAATAGGTGTATGTACATATGTATGGATCTATGTATTGCATGTGTGAGTGTGTGCGTGTGTCTGTGTATGCTGGATATGGCCCTCATGCATATCCTGTAACTCTTGGATGGGAATTCATGCATTCTTAATAGAAGTAATTATGTTTTTTTCACTCTCCCCTTCTAGCACCATCTTCTGCACTGTTTTCTTGTTTTTTTTTCTCTCTCCTCCCTCACTCTCTGATCTTCATACAAGATATTTACGACCCTCTGCAAGAATGGTGTCTATTTTCTATTAAACCTGTGTCTTATCTGCACTCATGACGCTTTAACCCCTGTATCACAACTCATCTTTGAATTCTATGTGTCGTCTTGCTCAGAAATGCTTTAGACTTGAGAAAGGGAGGTTCTCCCGAAAACTTGTCATATATATATATATATATATATATATTTATATATATATATATATATAATTTACACGTTATGAAATAATGTAAAATGTGATTTGCTTCACTATTCCATTAAATAATATTTGTTTATACTATTCTTTAAACTGCATACAACTAATTTATGTGGGGGATTTTAAGTACATTTTTGAAACGCCAATATAAATCAATATATTGCACTGCAAAAAATTTCAATAAAGCACTATATGATATACAGCACTGCATTTTTTAAAATTTTATTTTACAAGTTTTAATAACTTTATTAATGCAGCACTGTTGTTGCTATCAAATAATAATGAGACAAAAAAGTTCTGGAACTTTTCTTGAGATTTGTTTCCTTTAGGCAGTAATGGTTTAATAGTGTACCAACTCTTACCTCTATCTTGTGTCTATGGCGTCTGCTGAAGTTTCACAGCAGGACCTTTAAATGTCTTCCACCCTGCTAGGACTACAATCTGTTAGATGCTAACAAAACTGATTAATTCTTATCCTGAGTTTTCGACTTCTGTCTTATTGCTTTTTATATCTTACTGTTCCCTTTTTTCCAGATGATTTTGTTACTTTTTCCCCCCATTGATAACTATTCCAGTAACAAATGTGTACAATTTACAGCAACTGCATATGTTGGATGGCACTGTCCTCACCAGATGGACGTATCTCTTTGACATAATTAACATTTTGAGTCTTAAACCCATACGTCTTTGTATCTATGTGTATGTTTTGAGACAAATTAGTCTTCTAACTATAGCTAACAGACAGTATTACAAAACCTGTATCGCGAAGAAGACCTAGAAATATGTATTATTGTAAACATTTCTTTGTAATATGATTACATTACTATTCTTTGAATAGAACCTTATTTTGAATTGTTTAATTAAATAGATAGACTGTGAGTGAAAAACAGACTATATATATATATATTTTGAATAAAAATATAATTTTAATCCTCACAGATTTGCTGTTAATTTAGTACGTTTAGTCTTAAACTGGAATATCCATATACAGTTGTCACTTCTCCAAAATCAACCAGTATTACAAAGTCTGACAATCACTATTTCAAAGTTCCTTCCTGCTCTTCTGCAATACGGGGACACTGGGTAGCTGTCCCTAGCCCCCCCTGGATGACCACGTTATTAGACTCACTGAGGACACTAGCACCATGCAAAGAGTGCTTCTACAGTGCTCCCCGATATGTATTGTGTGTGTTGGGCCAGTAAGCCCCACATGTATTAACATTAGGCTGACATGGCAGACCTGCCCAATTTGGGCATCAGGCTGACATGGTGAACCTGTCCAGTTTGGGTATTGCAAGTTATATTGTCCTATGGGCTGACCATCCCGTCACAATCGCATATGCCTTGATCTGGGTTGTCAAATATACAGCCTGTTGGTCAGATACGGCCAACTAGGCTCATGTATCGCTTCATAAACCATGTGACACAATCAACACTATGTATTTTTTACCTGGCAGTGATGACACCCCGGAATTGAAGCATGTTCTCTCTGTCTCTGCTTTCTCATAACACAATGTGCTGTGATGCTTTGCGGTTTGCAATGCTGGGTATGCATGATGCCACATTGCAGCTCCATTCACACAGAGAAAGGGAGCAGGGACAGGTTGCACTGATCATGATGCCATATTGCAGCTCCATTCCTCTTAAATGGCCCATACACACAGAGAAAGGGAGCAGGGACAGGTTGCACTGACCCGAGGCTGGCCCTGGTATCACCGGGTGGGCGGGCAGGCAGGCAGGCGCGAGAGAGAGCACTCTCTTCAGCTCCCTCGCGCACCGCACTGATACCGGAGCTGGAAGATGACATCATTTTCCGGCGTGGCATCCCTACGCAGCGCGCGAGGGAGCTGAAGAGGAAGCACTCAGGGGAGAGTGCTCCCTCGTGCGCCCGCCAGCCTGCCAGCCAACCAGCCCGCAGGACTGGCCCCTGGGCAGCCCCACTGGACCCCAGGAAATCCCCTCAGCACTCTGAAAGGTAAGGAGGCTGGGGGGATTACATTTAAAAAAAAAAAAATGTGTGTGTGTGTGTGTGTGTTAGTGTGTGTGTTAGTGTGTGTGTTAGTGTTAGAGTGTGTGTGTTAGTGTTAGAGTGTGTGTGTTAGTGTTAGTGTTTGTTAGAGTGTGTGTGTGTTAGAGTGTGTGTTAGAGTGTGTCAGTGAGTGTGTTACTGTGTGTGTCTGTTACTGAGTGTATTAGTTTGTGTGCGTCTGTTACTGAGTGTATGTTTTGTAAGTGAGTGTGTATGTGTCTGTCTGTCAGTGAGTGTGTATGTATGCCTGTCACTGAGTGTGTTTCTGTCAATAAATGTGTGTCTGTTAGCTAGTGTGTATGCGTCTGTTCGTGAGAGTGTGTGTGTGTCTTAAGCACTTACCTTTCTCCAGCGCCGGACTCCCTTGGCGCTGGGGATCTCTCCGCCCCGATCCGCCTCTCAGCTCCGAACGCAAGAGCCACGCGCGCATTCAAACCGCCCATAGGAAAGCATTACTCAATGCTTTCCTATGGACGTTCAGCATCTTCTCACTGTGATTTTCACAGTGAGAATCGCGGAAACTCCTCTAGCGGCTGTCAATGAGACAGCCCCTAGAGGCTGGATTAACCCTCAGTGAAACATAGCAGTTTCTCTGAAACTGCTATGTTTTCAGCTGCAGGGTTAAAATTAGAGTCTCCTGGCACCCAGACCACTTCATTGAGCTGATGTGCTCTAGGTGTCTGTAGTGGTCCTTTAAGTGTATGTGTATCTGCATGCACTGGCGTACATACCGCGGTCGTAGGGGTCGCAGCCCTGCGACCAGGTGCCCGCCACCATGTGTTGAAGCCCCAGCCCGCGTAGAGTAAGCACACGGGGGAAGGGGCCCACGGATCCATTTTCACACCAGGGCCCCATGGGTTGTGTGTACGCCACTGACTGCAGTCCACTAAGAAATATCTTAGTGGGCCAGTCCAACTCTTGAGATCATCAGCGACCTCTTACCCAGGGCCGGTGCAAGGATTTTTGCCGCCCTAGGCAAAAGTAAAGTTTGCCACCCCCTCCCCCCCCCATATGACATCACAATGCCCCATGTTAACTAACGCAAGTGCTGCAGTGCCGCCGTGTTTACATTAAAAGGCCTGCAGGGACAGGCTATAGACAGCAGAACCACTACATTAAGCTGCAGTGGTTCTGGGGACTAAAATGTCCCTTTAATGTGAGGTAAATTAGAGATTAGTGCCACGAATAATATACTAGATTGCCTACTTACAATCAGATGAGGATGGTGATGGGCTCTAGCTGCAGTCTGGCTCCACTCGTCTGGTGTAGAACAGGCTCTCTGGAGGCTGTTTGTGTTCTGGGAGAACGGGAAGCAGCTCCATTTTTTGGGGGCCCTTTACACAGCTCAAGGTCTGGGCCCCAGGGTCCACCTTCATGTTCCACCAATTAGTTTGTTCACAGGAGTAGGGGATGTCCTGATATGTGTGTAAGGAATGCATTGTGTGAATCTGTGTTTGTATGTGTAAGGGCTGCAATGTGTGTTTCTATGTATGTACGGGATGCAGTGTGTGCATCTGTAAGGGGTGCATTGAGTGTGTGTAAGGAATGCATTGTGTGTTTCTGTGTGTGTAAGGGATGCATTGTGTGTAAGGGTTGAATTGCTTGTGTGTGTGTGTGTGTGTGTGTAATGCATTGTGTGTTTTTCTGTGTGCAAGGGGTGCATTGTGTGTGTGTGATGGATGTCAATCTCTCCCCCCTCCCTTGTCACTCTCTTCTCCCCCTCTCCCTCCCTCGTCACTCTCTTCTCTCCCCCCCTTGTCTCTCTCTTCTCCCCCCCTTGTCCCTCTCTTCTCCCCCCTCTTGTCCCTCTCTTCTCCCCCCTCCCTTGTCACTCTCTTCTCCCCTGCGTGTCCCTCTCTTCTCCCCCCTCCCTTGTCACTCTCGTCTCCCCCGTTGTAACTCTCTTCTCCCCTCCCCACTCTCATTCCCCCTCCTAACCCCGTCAATTCCCCTCCCTGTCAATTTCTCCCCCCCACCTTGTCAATTTATTCCCCCCACCCTGCCTGTCCATTTATTCCCCCACCCTGCCTGTCCATTTATCCCCCCCTCCCTGTCCATTTATTCCCCCCTCCCTGTCCATTTATTCCCCCACCCTGTCCATTTATTCCCCCCTCCATTTATTCCCCCCCCTGCCTGTCCCTTTATTCCCCTGCCTGTCATTTATTCCCCCACCTGCCTGTCCATTTATTCCCCCTCCTGCGTGGTTGTTTCCCTCCTGTCCGGCTATTCCCCCCCTCCCCTGTCCATGTATTTCCCCCTCCTGTCCATGTATTCCCCCCCTCACTGTCATTTTATTCCCCCCTCCCCTCCCTGTCCATTTTATTCCCCCTCCCTCCCTGTCCATTTTATTCCCCCCCTCCCGTCCATTTATTCCCCCCCACCCGTCCATTTATTTCCCCCCACCCCGTCCATTTTGTTCCCCCACCCCGTCCATTTATTCTTAATACTTAATCTTAATGTGACTACTAAGGGACACATATCTGTGAAACAAAATACTACTTTTACTTGTCTCTATAAGTGTAAGTTATTATCCTGTTTATATAACTACTTTAAAAAGTGCAATGTTATTACTGCCATGGGCTTAAACGTGTATTTGAACTGGAGCGCACCAGCTATTGTGGCTGTGCAACTCCGCCTGTTAACCTTATGCACGACCAAAAATAAAGAATTATAAAAAAAAAAAAAAAAATCTACTGAAAATGTCGCAACACTGGCTTGTTTCATCCGCAATAGATGTCGGGACTTCATAATTCTCTGTGATTCTGTAATAAAGAGGATATATGTATAATTAGATATATTTCTTTTTTTGAACCTGTTAAAGGAACACTTTAGGGTCCCAGACCACATCATCCCTCTGAAGGAACAGCAATGTTTCCATTGTAGGAGTAACCTGTGTCTATTGGCTGTTATAGTGCCATACAGCCACTAGAGGCACCTCTGCTGAAATAGTGGAGTAAAGCTTATCTATTTCAATCAAATGGTCCCATGTGCATTAGCCTACCAATGCTTTCCTATTGGATCAATCTCGATGATCTCAGACAAGAAGGCGGAACGGTGTGCCAGAGACCAACGCTGCGAGGGAGAAAAGGTAAGTAAAGGCAACTTTCTAACCCTGGCAGTAGGGATCTGGTCACCTAAATGGTCACTAGGGCACTATAGCGTTGGGCATATCATTTTTTATTTCTATCACTGTTGTGTTCCTTTAAGTGCTGGGTCTTTTTCTTATATTGTTGATATTTCCACTTGTGATTATTTCAGTGGTTTGTCTTGTTCTCTGTGCAGTGGGATTGCAGACATCAAATTTTAAGCTACAAAGTACTTTTTTATTGCCCAATTTAAGAGCAACATTTGTGTTTCAAAGTTAGCGCTCCAAAAATTGTTCATTTTATAAAAAATACTTATTATTAGCAAGATTTTAAATTAGCCACCTTAGAAACGTTTTATACTTTAACTGTTTTTATGCTACATAATATATTTCTCTGACAGTAAAACAGACCACATAGTACGTCTGGAATAGCACTGCTCGGTCTCCTTGGTCATCTGACATTCTTTTTCAGCAGAGTGACGTGTAGGATGCCCCCTACACCTCCCCACAACTTCTCCTGGGTGGAACCTGGGCTGTTGGCTGGCATGGCTATGCCTCGACTCCCTGCCCACTACGAGTATTTATACCAGAATGGTATACGGCACCTGATAACACTGACAGAGCACAAACCGCCGTATCATGACACTTGTCCTGGCATCACTCTGCATCGTATTCGCATCGTGGACTTCTGCCCACCGAGTTTGGACCAGATCAAGAGCTTCCTCAAAATCGTAGAAGATGCAAACGCTAAGAAAGAGGTACCATGGTCAATCTAGGCCTAACTGTTCTGGTGCATGTACATTGGATTACACTTGTATCAGGCCATGTAATCAATGCACTTGTGAAATGTGTTTGAACAAAAATCACTTATTTGTGTAACATATTAAACACTTTCAATAAAAGAAAGTTCTTAAAAGAAAACAAAGGGCTAAGTTAAAGTTACACTGTAGGCAGCTGACCACTTCAGCTTATTGAGGTGGTCTGGGTGCAATGTCCCATGTCCCTTAACCCTACAGTGGTAACTATTGCAGTTTCTGAGAAACAGCAATAATTACCTGAGGGTAAACTCATCCTCTAGTGGCTGTCTACCAGACAGCCACTAGAGGGACTTCCGGAATCCAAACCTTTGGTCCGTTATCTGACGCTGGACGTCCTCACACTCTGTATGAGAACCTCCAGCGTCAGTTTTTTCCTATAGGAAAGCATTAAAAATGCTTTCCTATGGGGAAATCGTAATGCGAGCGCGGCCATTGCCGCGCATGTGCATTAGGTCTCCCCTACCAGCTGACGACGGCGGGCGAGGAGCGTAGACGGAGCCTTACCCAGCGCCGAGATACAACGGCACTGGCTTCAGGTAAGTGGCTGAAGGGATTTTAACCCCTTCAGCCATGCGGGAGGGGGGGATTCTACAGTGCCAGGAAAACAAGTTGTAGAACGAGAGTAAAAAATAAAAAATTACCATAAATTGTAAGTTGTGGAAAAACTCTACCACCCAGCTCCTCCATGTGTCTCATCCCCACCTCCACTTCTCCATTTGTCTCATTCCCCCCCCCACTCCTCTATGTGTCTCACCTTCCACCAGCCCCTCCACGTGTCTCATTCTCCCCCCAACCCCTGCATATGTCTCATTCTTCTTCCACTAGCCCCTCCATGTGTCTCATTCCACCCCTAGCCCCTCCATGTGTCTCATTCTCCTCCTCCCAGCCCCTCCATGTGTCTCATTCTCTTCCCACCAACCCCTCCATGTGTCTCATACTCCTTCCCCTAGCCCCTCCTTGTGTCTCATACTCCTTCCCCTAGCCCCTCCTTGTGTCTCTTTCTCCTTCCCCCAGCCCCTCCTTGTGTCTCATACTCCTTCCCCTAGCCCCTCCTTGTGTCTCATACTCCTTCCCCTAGCCCCTCCATGTGTCTCATTCTCCTCCCCCAGCCCATCATGTGTCTCATTCTCCTCCCCAGCCCTCCTTGTGTCTCGCTCCTTCCCCCCAGCCTCCATGTGTCTCATTCTCCTCCCCCAGCCCATGCATGTGTCTCATTCTCCACTCCCCCAGCCGCCATGTGTCTCATTCTCCTCCCCAGCCCCTCCATGTGTCTGTTCCTCCCAGCCCATCATGTGTCTCATTCTCCTCCCCAGCCCCTCCATGTGGTCTCTTCTCCTCCCCCCAGCCCCCTCCTTGTGTCTCGTTCTCCTCCCCAGCCGCCATGGTGTCTCATTCTCCTCCCCAGCCCCTCAATGTGTCTCATTCTCCTCCCCAGCCCCTCCATGTGTCTCATTCTCTCCTCCCCCAGCCCCCTCAATGTGTCTCATTCCTCCTCCCCCAAACCCCTCCATGTGTCTCATTCTCCTCCCCCCCAGCCCTCCTTGTGTCTCATGCTCCTTCCCCCAGCCCCCCTCCATGTGTCTCATTCTCCTCCCCCAGCCCGCCATGTGTCTCATTCTCCTCCCCAGCCCGCCATGTGTCTCATTCTCCTCCCCCCACCCATCATGTGTCTCCTCCCCCCAGCCCCGCCATGTGTCTCATTCTACCCCCGCTCAGCTCCTCTATATGTCATACCCCCTACTTCTCCATGTGTCTCATTCTACGCTCCAGCCGCTCCATGTGTCTCATCCACATATCTTTTCTTACATTCAGACTTTACACACATAAAAAAATTACCCTAAAAACTAAAGTTAACGCCAAACCAAAGAACAAAACAAACACGACTATGGGACTTGTAGGATAAAGCTGTCTGACTACAATATGTTTGAAATACACAATGAAATGTTAATCCCTTCTTTTCTTTTCCAGGGAGTCGCTGTCCATTGCATGCATGGGTTCGGAAGGACTGGCACTATGCTGGCGTGCTATCTGGTTAAAACTAGGAAGATTACTGGGGTCGATGCCATCAATGAGATTAGGAAGATCCGGCGAGGGTCTATAGAAACAACAGAACAGGAGAAATCCATTATACAGTTCCACCACCACATAAAATGATGGGGGGCGGGATTAACGAGGACTAGACAATGTTCCAGCTTCACAGGACTGAGTTAATCTGGACTTTCCACCCGCCGTTTGTTGTATTTTCATAAAACCATTATTTTCGTGAACTGAAGTAAAATGATTTTCGGGGCCAAATATTAAATTTGGATGGTCATCAACTCTGTTGGGTTTCCATAACTGCAAACATAATCTACTGTCTTGAGAAGATGTTTTGTGGTTATTTTTCATCTTCTTCGGGATCACTTCAGCATAAAAACAAAATTGTAATGGGGGCAATATGGCACTTGACTTATGTGGCGGTATACGTATCTCTACCTTAAAGGAAAACAGTCATCGTTTTTATTATTGTTTTAGTAGTTGTATTATTGTTTTGTGGTGTGGCCAACTCTAAATCCTCTTCAGTCAGAAGCACTATGTATTAGATAAAGGAATACTAAAGCCATCCATGCCACTTTATCTCAATTAAGTGGTCTGGGTGCAGTAGTCCTTTTAACCTTGCAAGGTAAGACATAGATTTGTAGAGACTGCAATGTGTATGTTGCAGTGTTAAACATACCTCTAGTCGCTAAGTAAAATCCACCTGTTAAACCCTAGCAGGGGGTGGTGGACACCAACACTTACATATAGTTAAACTATAGTGTTGGGAATACATATTTGTATCTCTAATGCTATAGCAGCAGTGGAACCACAGTGGTGCGACCAGGCCCTCTGCATTCTGCCTGTCACAGGGGCCCAGGAGCAGGGCGTTTAACCACCTTAGCACCCCCCATCCTGGAGGTGGGCAATTAGGCACTAAGCTAAAGCAGGCACCTGCTTAACTGGACATCACGTGCCTACTCTGCCGATATACAGTGTCTAGGAAGGAGAATGGGGGAGGCAGCGAGGGAGCACTGATGTGCCTGCTCTTCCTCACTGCTCCCTTGTTTGCTTTGCGGTGATGCCGGGATATGACCTGATTCTGGCACTAGCATCACTATACAGAGCGCAAGGGAACAGCATGAAGATTGAGGGCGCAAACCAGCTATCCAAAAGGTCGAAAGTCTGGATGGGCTTAAAGGACCACTCTAGTCACCCAGACCACTTCAGCTTAATGAAGTGGTCTGGGTGCCAGGTCCTTCTAGGGTTAACCCATTTTGTCATAATTATAGCAGTTTCAGAGAAACTGCTATAATTATGAATGGGTTAAGCCTTCCCCCTAATCCTCTAGTGGCTGTCTCATTGACAGCCACTAGAGGCGCTTGCGTGCTTCTCACTGTGATTTTCACAGTGAGAGCACGCCAGCGTCCATAGGAAAGCATTGTAAATGCTTTCCTATGGACCGGCTGAATCTTGGCTCAGCGCGTGGCGTCTTCAGCCCGGGGCGTAACGGGGGAAGGGAGGAGGCTCCAGGCGCTGGAAAAAGGTAAGTTTTACCCCTTTTCCCCTTCCAGAGCCGGGCGGGAGGGGTCCCCTGAGGGTGGGGGCACCCTCAGGGCACTATAGTGCCAGGAAAACGAGTATGTTTTCCTGGCACTATAGTGGTCCTTAAAAAAAACACAAAATTCATTGGTGAGTGTGTGTGAGAGAATTTATGTGTGAGTGTGTAAGTATCAGTGAGTGTATGTCAAATCAGTGAGTGTGTGTGTGTTTGTTAGTGAATGTGTGTGTGCAGGAACTTTTAGCTACTCAGGCGAAGATGCATTTTGCCGCCCCCCCACACCTCCCCCTTAAAAAAAAATGCATCTTCACCTGTGTGTCTTGTTGTAACACCCCTCCCCCCCTTTGAATTTCTTACCCCTAATGTGCTCTAGTGTATTTTATTCCCCCTTTGTATATATCTTACTTCCCACCACATCCTTTGTGTGTCTCTTCCCTCCAGCCCCTTTCTGGGTCTCTTTCTTACCCCAGCCCCTTTCTGGGTCTCTTTCTTACCCCAGCCCCTATCTGGGTCTCTTTCTTACCCCAGCCCCTTTCTGGGTCTCTTTCTTACCCCAGCCCCTATCTGGGTCTCTTTCTTACCCCAGCCCCTCCGCCAGCCCCTTTCTGGGTCTCTTTCTTACCCCAGCCCCTATCTGGGTCTCTTTCTTACCCCAGCCCCTTTCTGGGTCGCTTTCTTACCCCAGCCCCTTTCTGGGTCGCTTTCTTACCCCAGGCCCTATCTGGGTCTCTTTCTTACCCCAGCCCCTTTCTTTGTCTCCTTCTCCACCACAGTCCCTCTGTGTGGCTCTTTTCCCCCTCAGTCTGTTTGTGTGTCCCTCCCCTCCAGATACCTTTGTGTGTATTTTCTTCCAAGCCACAGGCACACAGACATAAAAGGCACACAATCAAAGTCATACATGTACACTGTCATACAAACACAGACATAATCATACAGAGACATATAGACACAGAGACATACAGTCAGAGACATACAGACACACTCACACAGAGACATACAGTCAGAGACATACAGACACACACACACCGACATACAGGCAGAGACATACATGCATACAGAGGCATACCATCATACAGACACATACATAGAGGCACCAACTGTGAATACACACACACAGACTGCTTAATCCACACGCACACAGATTGCTGAATACACACATATTGCGTAATACGAACACAGAATGCTAAATACATGTGCAGACTGCTGGATACACACACAAAAACTGCTGAATAGACACAGACTGTTGAATACATACACAGACTGCTGAATACGCACACACGCAGACTAATGCATACACATACAGACTGCTGAATACATACAGACTGCAGTGTCTGTGTGATGGATGTTGTGCGGAGTGTGAGTAGTGCAGTGTGTGTGTGAGGTGTGCATAGGGATAAGGGAGCACATGGATCTTTTATATTATTTTTATTTAAAACATAATAAACATTTATGTCCCCTCCACCCTTTTTTTAACCTTTCGCAAGGGAGGGTTGGACACTGCATGGCCTGGTGGTCTGGTGGTGAGTTGTGCCTTTCCTTCTCCCCAGAGATGAATGCTGTTTTGGGGTGTTGCCATGGTAACGCACAGTAATACTCCGACCTGCCTGCATGCCAGAGGAACAATCTGCCTCCCAACTCCTTCCCTCCCTCTCCCCTAACGAAGTGCCGTTGGACTGGTGAGGAGAATTTGATCTCCCTACTGGCCCAAGAAGTCACAGAGTAAGATCAGCTCTGCAAGGGCCGGAAAGGTAGATTAAAGGATCTCCCCTCTCGGCCTTGGTGCCTAGTCATCAGGGTGGGGCCCAATGCTTGTGGGGCTCATGGGCAACTGCCTAGCTTGCCAATGCAGAAAGACGACCTTGGCCAAGACCGAAATAGTTAAACATTATAGTGTCAGGAATACATGTTAGTGATATAGAAAAGATAGTAGTTGCACAGAATAGCCGTCCAGTAGAGGCAGTAAAGAGCTGTGAAATAGTAGTAGATGCATGGAACAGTATTACAGTGGAAGTAGAAAAGGCTAATAGCGGGTAGTAAGTACTTGGAAACCTACCAGTGGAAGCAGGAAAATAACAGAATAATACTAATGATGTGCACACAGTATCCTGAAGAACAATTAAGGAATATGGAGATTTCCTACTGGGTGGAGGAGGTAGACCCAGGCTGGATTTACCATTCCATTCCTCCAAACATTGCAAATGGACAAAGATGGACTCTTTAAATGTAGGGGTGTGAGTGTGGGTGTGGGTTTTATGTACAGATTTGATGGGGTTTCGGAAAGTTACAGGGACAAATATAGGGATTGTAAATTTAATTCTAAATGTATTTATGTATTTTTTAACACAATGTGTTTTTATTAATTATAATTCCTGACAACCCAGACAGTCACCCTGCAGGCCATCTATCAATCATGCTGATCCAAGTCATGTGATTGCGGTGTCGCTGCAATCACATGACTGTAGTTGGCGGGATTGGCTGTAGAGGGACTGGCTGCGTTGTCAGGCAGTCCCCCCAATCTGATGCGGCTAGCAGGGTAAGTATCCTGTCTGGAGAAGGTCCTATGCGTGCCATGCAGCCCTAACGGCTTTATTAATTATTATTATTATTATTGGTATTTATATTACGCCAACTAATTCCACATTGCTTTACAATATTATGAAAGGGAGGGAAATTTACAATAAATGAGACAATTACACAGTGACACAGGAACGATAGGTAATTGAGGGCAATGCTCAAACGAGCTTACAGTCTCTAGAGGAGGTGGGGTACAAATACACAACAGGGCAGCAAGGGTGACAGCCACCACACAAGGTGGAAAAGTAGCAGAGCTGGAGGTGAGAATGGAGTGTGGCTCTTTAGGAAGAGACAGATATGGATAGGTATAGATAAGTTACTCTGGGAGTCCATTAGCACTTTAAAGCCCTCATAGCACGCCTTAGCTTCAGGAAGTGGTTAAAGACACATTAAGACACATTACTGGGAGTATTATTGCTGTGGAGCTCTGTTATACACTCAGACACATTACTGGGAGTATTATTGCTGTGGAGCTCTGTTATACACTCGGACACATCACTGGGAGTATTATTGCTGTGGAGCTCTGTTATACACTCGGACACATCACTGGTAGTATTATTGCTGTGGAGCTCTGTTATACACTCGGACACATCACTGGGAGTATTATTGCTGTGGAGCTCTGTTATACACTCGGACACATCACTGGGAGTATTATTGCTGTGGGGCTCTGTTATACACTCGGACACATCACTGGGAGTATTATTGCTGTGGAGCTCTGTTATACACTCACACACATCACTGGGAGTATTATTACTTTGGGGCTCTGTTATACACTCAGACACATTACTGGGAGTATTATTGCTGTGGAGCTATGTTATACACTCAGACACATTACTGGGAGTATTATTGCTGGGGAGCTCTGTTATACACACAGACACATTACTGGGAGTATTATTGCTGGGGAGCTCTGTTATACACTCAGACACATTACTGGAGTATTATTACTGTGGAGCTCTGTTAGACACTCAGACACATTACTGGGAGTATTATTGCTGTGGAGCTCTGTTATACACTCAGACACATTACTGGGAGTATTATTGCTGTGGAGCTGTTATACACTCAGACACATTACTGGGAGTATTATTGCTGTGGAGCGCTGTTATACACTCAGACACATTACTGGGAGTATTATTGCTGTGGAGCTCTGTTATACACTCAGACACATTACTGGGAGTATTATTGCTGTGGAGCTCTGTTATACACTCAGACACATTACTGGGAGTATTATTGCTGTGGAGCTCTGTTATACACTCAGACACATTACTGGGAGTATTATTGCTGTGGGCTCTGTTATACACTCAGACACATTACTGGGAGTATTATTGCTGTGGAGCTCTGTTATACACTCAGACACATTACTGGGAGTATTATTGCTGTGGAGCTCTGTTATACACTCAGACACATTACTGGGAGTATTATTGCTGTGGAGCTCTGTTATACACTCAGACACATTACTGGGAGTATTATTGCTGTGGAGCTCTGTTATACACTCAGACAACATTACTGGGAGTATTATTGCTGTGGAGCTCTGTTATACACTCAGACACATTACTGGGAGTATTATTGCTGTGGAGCTCTGTTATACACTCAGACACATTACTGGGAGTATTATTGCTGTGGAGCTCTGTTATACACTCAGACACATTACTGGGAGTATTATTGCTGTGGAGCTCTGTTATACACTCAGACACATTACTGGGAATATTATTGCTGTGGAGCTCTGTTATACACTCAGACACATTACTGGAGTATTATTGCTGTGGAGCTCTGTTATACACTCAGACACATTACTGGGAGTATTATTGCTGTGGAGCTCTGTTATACACTCAGACACATTACTGGGAGTATTATTGCTGTGGAGCTCTGTTATACACTCAGACACATTACTGGGAGTATTATTGCTGTGGAGCTCTGTTATACACTCAGACACATTACTGGGAGTATTATTGCTGTGGAGCTCTGTTATACACTCAGACACATTACTGGGAGTATTATTGCCGTGGAGCGCTGTTATACACTCAGACACACCAATAATATGGAGCTCCTAACAAAGAGGGACTGAGGGATTTGTGCCCAAAATATGGACACCCCCTCCTAAATAGGAACACTTTTAAGGTATGCCATGTAGAAGAATATGCAGGTTGCTTCTGGGAAACTAATTTAATACAATTACAAATATAAATTTTTTCCTTTTTTTTTTAAATATCTTTTTTATTTTGCTATGCGATAATTGTATTTTTTGTATTTGTGGGGAGTAGGATGGAGGCTGGAAGCAGTTTCTACCAGTCTTATGTATACTCCAACTCCTGGTGCAAGCTCTATATTCAGGTGGAAGTACAATCACCTACAGGTTCCAGAGAAGTAAATTAGATTTTATCTGCTGGTAGAGTTTCTCTAAGTAATGAACACGGTCAGTAATCAAAGACCCCCCCCCTCAGGTATTCTTGTAGCTATGTATTCACTACACATCAGGTACCGTGTGTCCCTTGTCCAAGCTGGGATCCATAATGGGAGCCCATACACGTCTCCTATTGGCTGCAATTAAACATTCTAATCTACAATGCAGACATGTAGCTAGTGATTCTCTCAGCATTTAGCTTGGTATACAAGTGGTTAACGCATTTAACGAGACGCCGTATGTCTGAGATTTAGAGATCATTACCAACTGCCACTCAAATCTCTGAAATACACACAGATATAATTCTAACACAAAACACAAAATATGTTTTTTTTGTTGTTGTTTTTCTTCTTTTCAGTAAAGTTTGGGGCTATCCCTTACTTTCAGTGATTTCAGCTTAATTTACTGTTTATATGAATTGTTTCCTTAGCGCTTATCCTACCTTTCGTACTAAATAGAATTCTAAGTAGGTGTTTTAGGAAATGTAAATAAAAATATAAACATAGAATAAGTAAAATGTGTTTGTATATATATATCTATAATTTTCTATATAAAATGTCCACTAGGCAAAATTTACCTTGGGTGAGTATGCTACATACTAACATACAACATTAATCTCTGCATTCAAACTCCCACTACTCCTGGGCTGCAGCAATGACTGACGTACACATCAGCCCCCATACAGACAATAAAAACCAAAGGAAAAAGTTACTTGCACACCATCCCAGATCCCTTTGCATATTTAAATAACTGGAGGTTTAGTATCACTCCAATGGCCATTAAATTGTAAGCTCATTTGCCACGTTAAGGCAAACCTCAAAGATTTCTCATACACTGACTACATATAAAAAAAGAAGCAGCCCTGTGCTAAAACTCCCACTACTCCTGGGCGCCAGCAATAACTATAGCATACATCAGCCCCAATACATACAACTAATGACTAACGAACAAGTAATTATGACAAGTTATGCATACAGGAACAGAAGGCGTAGAGGGCCATGCTCAAATTCTAGCGGAGCGTGATAAAATGTCACAAGGGGTACGATATTCTCAAACAGTATTTGGTATCAAACAAGATATCAAGTTTGGAGGGTTGATTCCAGGAGATTCTGGGTGAGACATCGGCTTTAACCCCAACATCTAGTAATTCTTTTTTATATCCTAGATCAGGCTTCCCCAAACTCCGGCCCTCCAGATGTTGCTGAACTACAACTCCCATGATTCTCAGCCTATCTCTTTCATTCATAGAATCATGGGAGTTGTAGTTCGGCAACATCTGGACGTCCGGAGTTTGAGGAAGTCTGTCCTATATCTACTGAGAGTTCTAAGTTACTCAAACTTTGCACATTTGCAGAAAAGGCATTTTATTTCTTCTGATGCATTTGCAGCCCATCATAATAATATCCAAGCTGTCATTGTGGTTTTAAAGGTTTCTGAACTGTGTAATGTTAACTAGCTGTGCTGTACGTTGCTGACAATAAACAGGTTTTATGTCAATTGAGCAGGAGACACTGTGTTGTGTATGTATTTTAACACGATTCAATCCACTGGCTGGCCGTCACATTATGGTTAGTGCCATTTATGGTATGTATTTACCCTCCTCTCTGTCTTCTAACCTTGGTTTCTGAATCAGTAACTTTTAAAAGATATAAAATGAGAGGCCAATCAGTAACAAGGGGCTAGCTACACATTGGGAAATATAGGGCTTGTCAGACAGGCAGACAGACACTGTAAAGCTAACCTGGAGGACATAGTGACCAGGGGCGGTCCAGAACCCAATCTCAGGAGGGACACATGGTTATTTATAGAATCTATCCAGGCACAATAACCACTACAGGTCACTGTAGTGGTTATGGTGCCAGGAGTGCCGTGGCACCCTCCTAATTAAGTTTAAGAACAGTTTGACAACTTACCTGGGATCTGCCAGGGTAGTGGATATAGCCTGTAGTAGGGGACAGGGGCCGTAGTGTGTTTGTGTGGTGCAATGTGTGAGAGGTTGTAGTGTGTGTGCATGTGTGTTAGGGGTGAAGTGTGTGTGTGTGAGGGTGGTGTAGTGTGTGTGTGTCTATGTGTGGTGCAGTGGATGTGTGTTTGAGGGGTCAGTGTGTGTGAGGCGTGCAGTGTGTGTATGTTTGGGGCAGTGTGTGTGAGGGTGCAGTGAGTGTATAGAGGGGCAGTGTGTGTGTTTGTGGGGCAGTGTGTGTTTGAGGAGTCTGTGTGTGTGCGTGTGTGGGAGATGCAGTATGTATTTGAGGGGTCAGTGTGTGTGTGTTTGAGGGGTCAGTGTGTGTGTGTGTTAAAGATTCAGTGTGTATTTGAGTGGTCAGTGTGTGTGTGTGTGTGTGTTTGAGGGGTCAGTGTGTGTATGTGTGGGGCAGTGTGTGTATTTGTTAGTGGGTATTGTGTTTTGCTCAGAGACGGGGAACATTTCCTGCAATCCCTGGTGGTCCTAGTGGAGAAGCCCTTGTGGTCCGGTGGGAGTGAACTCTAGGCACACAGAACGGCTGGCACTTGGATAATGCCAGGCCTAGGGGGGAGAGTGAGGGAGAGTCGCTACTCACACGGTAGCACTGGGCCACACTTCTTTTAATATGGTGACTGCTCAGGAAAGGTCAGAGCAGTGGACAATAACTTCCAGGCATTCCGGCGAAGTGTCTGCTAGTTCGAATCTTGTAGCAAGCAGTACCTCCTACCCACCCAAATCCTCTACAAGACACATGGCCACTGAATGCACGGCTTACACGCCGAATACCAAGTCTGCAACTTGCCATTACCACCTTCAACAGCGGGAGATGGAAGCCACCATCGTATTAGAGAGTACTTAGCTGGTGACTGCCTGTGAGGAAGGCCTAGAGGCCAAGACCAATCTTGTGGTGGGTGCTGGGAATGTCATCCTTGCATATTCCCGAGGAGCACCTATTTACACTTTTATACCATAAGAGGAATAGTCGAGGGTCTATCTAGGACTGATTCTCACCCCAAGCATTGGATACTGTTGTACCTGGTGTAGCGTTACTCACCTTCTCCAGGGGCCAGCCGCGGTCCTCTCTTCGAGCCGCGCGCGGTCCTGCTGCTGCACGAGCCACGCGCGGCTCATCCGACGGCCTCAGCAGGAAGGCGGGCAGTGACCGCGAGAAGCGGTCACGTGTCCCGCCTGAATCTAAGAGCGCGCCGCGAGTCTCGGACGCGCTCTTAAAGAGACAGTGGGAGCCTAAATTGTTAAAAGGCTCCCATTGGCCCTGTCATGCCACACTCCCCATACACTTACCTTTTGGGGGTGTGGATATGACAGGAGCCAATCACATTAGTTTAGAAGCTATATATACTTACCTCTCCCTTTACTCCCTGCCCTATCGTGGTTTCTGTATCAGTTCCCTTTAGCGCTTGTTGTGTTCAGTTGTGTTTCTCCGTTTTGACTTTGGCTTTGTTTCTGACTACGTTTTCTCTTTATCCTTATCTGTTCTGGTTGTCGGCTTGCTGTTTACTGTGTACCAGACCCCGGCTTGTCCTAGTTTACGCTGTCTCTCTGTGTCCTTGACTTTGGATCGTCCCTGACTCTGCCTCCTCTCATATACGTCGAGTCCGGCCATTCCAAGGTCCGGTAGACGTATTTCTCCTCTGTGTTGTCTTCTGTTTAGCCGAATCCTGCGTGTTGGGGTATATTCTCGTTACATTACGATAGGGCCATGGACCCCGCAGATTTGGCTCAGCAAATGGCTTCTCACGAGGCAAGGTTTGTAGAACAGGATCATCGTATGGATCAGATAGCACAGGCTCTCCAGACGCTCTTGTCTAGAACTATTCCTGCAACCGCACCTAACCCTCCTACACCCCCTCCTCCCGAAGTATCCAATTCACCCAATACTTCGCCCCATTTAACACCTCCTCCTAGGTATGGAGGGGAAACCAAGACATGCAGAGGTTTTATTAATCAAATAGAATTCCACCTTGAGATGTATCCTCATTCCTTTGCCACTGATAGTGGGGTTTTTGATGCATCAACTTACTGACAAAGCACTTGAGTGGGCAAATCCTATTTGGGAAGCCAATGGACCTATGGTGCATAATTTCAATAGCTTTCTTACGGCTTTTCGTAGAACTTTTGACACAACTAAAAGGTCAAAGAATGCCGCAAGAGCATTAATGAGAATTAAACAGGGGTCTAGGTCTGTGGCTGATTATGCTATTCAGTTTCGTACCCTTGCTTCACAGGTAGATTGGACCAATAATGGGTTAACTACTGCGTTCATGGAAGGTTTATCTGACACTATATTAGATGAGGTAGCGGCAAGGGAGCTTCCTATTCCATTAGAGGACCTTATTGACTACCTCATTGATATAGATAATAGAATTCGTGACAGGCTCTATACCAAGAACAGGAATAGACGTGTAGTCACACCTACTAACCCCAGAGTTGATAAACCTGAGAGTGTTAAAATATCCGAGGAGGAACCCATGCAATTAGGGGTTGCCAAACTCTCAGATACTGAAAAACTACTTAGAAGAAGGAACGGACTCTGCCTATACTGTGGTAGGTGAGATCATATGGTAAAGGAATGCCCTTTGCTTCCGGAAAACTCTCGCACCTAAGACCTTATAGGGGACTGGCCTTGGGTGTGATATCTAAGTCTCCTAAATTGCCTCCTAACCGTTTGCTTCTCCCTGTTTCCCTTCATACGGGAGAGAGTTGTATAGCTGAAAGCATACTAGCCTTGGTTGATTCCGGGGCTGCTGAGAACTTCATTGACTCTGAGTTTGTTACGAAAAATAACATTCCCGTCAGAGAGAGGCAGATACCCTTGGCCATTGAGGCCATAGATGGTAGACCTTTAAATACTCCAGTAGTTACCCATGAAACTGTACCATTATTCATGTACACAGGGGTTTTACACCTTGAGACCATTCGGTTTCAGGTTATCACCTCTCCCTCTTCTCATATCGTGTTAGGGTACCCATGGTTATGTTCTCACAATCCCATTTTTGACTGGGAATTGGGGCAATTAAAATCATGGGGTAAAACCTGCCACGACTCTTGTATGAGTAAAGTTACCCCTTTAAATACCATTAATGTTCCTACTACTCCTCCTTTATCTACTGTTATACCTCCTCAGTACTTGTTTCTCAAAACTGTATTCGATAAAAGGGAAGCTGATAAATTACCGCCTCACAGATCCTATGATTGTGCTATCGATTTATTGCCTGGCACTATACCTCCTAAGGGCAGGGTGTACCCTTTATCTATTCAAGAAAACCGTATCATGGAGGAGTATGTTAAAGAATCACTAGAAAAGGGGTTCATTAGGAGATCCTCTTCTCCGGCTGGAGCAGGGTTTTTCTTCGTATCTAAGAAAGAGGGTGATTTAAGACCGTGCATTGACTATAGAGGTCTAAACAAAATCACTATCAAAAATGCATACCCTATACCTTTAATTACAGAGTTATTTGACAGGCTGAAACATGCTACTGTGTTCACCAAATTGGACCTTAGAGGTGCATACAATTTAATACACATAAAGGAAGGTCACGAATGGAAGACTGCATTCAACACTAGGTCCGGTCATTACGAGTACACTGTTATGCCATTTGGTCTTTGCAATGCCCCAGCAGTATTTCAGGAATTTATTAATGACGTCCTAAGAGACTTTATTCACACATTTGTAATTGTATACTTGGACGACATATTGATATATTCTACAGATTTACACACTCATCACAGACATGTCACAACGGTCCTGAAGACCCTTGTTACTAATGGTCTTTATTGTAAACTAGAGAAATGTTTATTTGACCAGTCCGAAGTCCAGTTCTTGGGGTATTTGATTTCCGCCAAAGGGTTTCGTATGGATCCCCAGAAGCTTTCTGCTGTCATAGAGTGGCCTCTACCACAGGGCTTTGAAAGCAATTCAACGTTTTCTTGGTTTCTCTAACTATTATAGACGCTTTATTAAGGGTTTTTCGTCTATTGTAGCACCTATCACCCGTATGACAAAAAAGGGTGGTAATACTCGTGTCTGGTCTCCCGAGGCACTTCAGGCTTTCGACTTTCTTAAAACTACATTTGCCTCTGCACCTATTTTACAGCACCCTATCCCCTCACTGCCTTATATTCTTGAAGTTGATGCTTCTGAAATCGGGGTAGGTGCTGTTTTGTCCCAAAGAGAATCGCCTGAAAGGCCATTGCATCCTTGTGGCTTCTTTTCTAGACAAATGTCCAAAGCTGAAAGGAATTATGATGTGGGTAATCGTGAACTCCTTGCTATTATCTTAGCTCTTAAAGAATGGAGACACTTGTTAGAAGGAACTAAGGATCCTATCCTCATTTTTACAGATCACAAGAATCTATCCTACCTTGGTGAAGCTAAAAGATTATCTTCTAGGCAGGCTAGATGGTCACTATTTTTGTCCCGTTTCAATTATATTATCACCTATAGGCCAGGTGATCGCAACATTAAAGCAGATGCTCTGTCCAGACAGTTCGAAACTACTGACAAACAGGAGGTTGATGTTACTCCTGTCATTCCCCCAGACAGGATAATAGCCACTACTATGTTGTCTATTTCTTCATCCCTCTTGCAGACCATACAGGCGAAACAAAGTATGGCACCTAACGAGAGGCCTATTGATAAATTGTTTGTTGATGTTCCAGAGAGACGGGAGATTCTGTCATTATATCATGATACTAAGACTGCTGGACATCCTGGTATTACCAAAACGATGTCAGCAGTTTCTCGATATTTTTGGTGGGGTTCCTTACGCAAGGATGTCACTGACTATATAAGTGCTTGTACTACTTGTGCATGTATGAAAACATCTCGTAGAGTTCCTTGTGGGCTTCTGCATCCCTTACCAGTTCCCGAGAGACCTTGGTCTAACCTATCCATGGATTTTATTGTTGAATTACCCCCTTCGAATGGTAACACAGTCATCCTGATGATAGTAGATCGGTTTTCCAAAATGGCTCACTTTGTGTCTCTTCGCAAGTTGCCCACATCCAAGGAACTGGCTCTTGTCTTTGCTAGAGAAGTATTTCGGTTACATGGTATTCCTGTATCTATCATGTCCAATAGGGGTAGCCAATTTATTTCCAGGTTCTGGAAAGCCTTTTGCTCAGAAATGGGTATTTCTCTCTCATTTTCTTCCGCTTACCATCCCCAGTCTAATGAAGCTGCTGAACGTGCCAACCAGTCTCTGGAGCAGTACCTTCGTTGTTTTGTGTCTCATCATCAGGACAATTGGTCTGACCTGCAGGCAGCTCCTACTTATGTTGTGGGGGACAGGGTTTTGCTTTCCACACGGAATATTCGCCTGCGGGTGCCTTCTATGAAATTGGCTCCCCGTTTCATAGGTCCTTATCGTGTACTGCATAAGGTTAATCCTGTTTCATACGCCTTGGGTCTTCCTAGGAATCTGCGTATTCCTAATGTATTTCACACCTCGTTGTTGAAGCCTTACGTACGCAACCGCTATACCCGGCATTCCCCGCCTCCACCTCCTGTCTCTGTGGAGGGTCATGAGGAATTCGAAGTCTCTGCTGTTCTTGACTCTCGTTACCTTAGGGGTCGACTTCAGTACTTGGTGCATTGGAAGGGTTATGGGCCTGAGGAGCGCAGTTGGATTTCAGCTGATGCTGTTCACGCTCCCCGCCTTGTGCGTTCTTACCATTCTCGTTTTCCTGCCAGGCCTGGCCCTACCTGCCCGGAGGGCGTGTCCTCAGAGGGGGGTACTGTAGCGTTACTCACCTTCTCCAGGGGCTCATCCGACGGCCTCAGCAGGAAGGCGGGCAGTGACCGCGAGAAGCGGTCACGTGTCCCGCCTGAATCTAAGAGCGCGCCGCGAGTCTCGGACGCGCTCTTAAAGAGACAGTGGGAGCCTAAATTGTTAAAAGGCTCCCATTGGCCCCTGTCATGCCACACTCCCCATACACTTACCTTTTGGGGGTGTGGATATGACAGGAGCCAATCACATTAGTTTAGAAGCTATATATACTTACCTCTCCCTTTACTCCCTGCCCTATCGTGGTTTCTGTATCAGTTCCCTTTAGCGCTTGTTGTGTTCAGTTGTGTTTCTCCGTTTTGACTTTGGCTTTGTTTCTGACTACGTTTTCTCTTTATCCTTATCTGTTCTGGTTGTCGGCTTGCTGTTTACTGTGTACCAGATCCCGGCTTGTCCTAGTTTACGCTGTCTCTCTGTGTCCTTGACTTTGGATCGTCCCTGACTCTGCCTCCTCTCATATACGTCGAGTCCGGCCATTCTAAGGTCCGGTAGACGTATTTCTCCTCTGTGTTGTCTTCTGTTTAGCCGAATCCTGCGTGTTGGGGTATATTCTCGTTACACCTGGATGGATAGGGTGGGATTCATGCCCTACATTGTGACTTTTATGATCTTTTTGAGCCTATTGTAAACCGTTCTGCTGTTGAAAAACTCCAGATATATAAAAAAAAAATCCTGGATATTAATATGCATCTCTAAACCCCGCTGAGTCAAGAACACAGTCCAGGCCTTATTAACGATACCGTGCAGTAGTTCCCTTAACGATCCATATAGAGTATGTCTGCATTATGCATAGCTGGCTGCTATTTTTACTAATCTGAAATATAGACCGTAGCTAATTTCTCATTGCATGTATTTACTAATTTAATATAGGCTAAAAAAAAAAAGACTTCAGGCCATTAAGTTGAACCTTTCAAACATCTGTTTCTGCTGTCGATCCATTAGAACAGTTTGAAGTGATTTACAGCGGTGCCGCAAAATGAAAGAACTCTTTCCGTTTCTGTAGGTGAAATCTTCTTTCTTTAAGTCTCAGCGGGTGACCTCCTGTGCTTTCTACAGTCCTGTTAATGAAATGGTTAGTAGAGAAATGTTTCCAATGGTCCTGTATATGTTTTTATAATGATGTCTGGCTACCTCTAAACTTTCCAGTTCCATGTTGCCTCCGACTGCCTGATTGCAAGGGCTTCTACCGAACTGCTTCATAAAAGAAAAACAAAGGAATGCAGCAAGTTATAGCCATCGTCATCATTAGGAAGTCCTTCAGCTACCCTTAGAGTGCCACTCCCATAATCCTCAGCCACACAGTGACCAGCAAAACCCCAGCTGCGTATTGGTTATTGTGGGTGTTGTAGCTAATTAACAGCTTGGAGTTTATGCGCCAAACAGGGAATAGTCAGGTGTTGGAAGGGGAATTGCAAATTTCAGACCAAACTCGCTGAATGGGAAAAGCAGGTGGTTTTGCAAGCCAGCTCGGCTACTCTGGCCTAGAATCTGTGTTTCCCTGGTCAATTCCCTCTCAGCCACCTGTTTACTGAATAATCCCCAGGCGATTTATTCGCTATAACTCCCATCATACTCAGCCATGAGTCATCTAGCCCCTTGTATGGCTGAAGATTATGAGAGTGGCAGTCAGACAGCAGCTGCAGAGATAATAAACCTGGCCCTACAGGGCTGTGTGGTGCACTACGTGCAATATCAAGTGTAGCCACCAGAGGGAGACAGCGCAGCAGCTATTTGCCAGATGCCACTATAAACTACATCTCCCGTGATGCCAAGGGGCAGCCACCCTTATTGGCTCCATGTGCTGCTCCTATAATGGCAGAAAACTAAGAGGGCTGATCTGGCAGACTGGATGCCATTGGTTGTTGCTGTGGAAACAAGGGGCGCTTGATTGAAAGAGTGGGTGGGTTAGGAGCATCATGGGCACACCTACTATTATGTTTGCAAGTTGCAGCCTGGCAGTGAGTTCAGGCAGGAATAGAGAGGAGGAGAGAAGGGGGGGAAATAAGGGGAGAAGAGAGAGAGGAGCTGGGAGAGGAGGTGTGGAGCTAGCACTGTCCCTGCCACCTGTTCTGGGAGCAGGAGCACTGTACCTTTCAGCATCCCTCTGCTGTGGGCACCAGCCACTGGCAACCAAGCCACACAGAGCACCCTGGGCAGAGGACTGGCAAGCATTGGCAACACTGGTTTTGGGGGGCTGCCCAGGATGTGGGGCATGCAGAGCAGCTGAAAGGCACAGGGCAGGCTGGGGAGGACGCTAACCCTCTTCTCAACCTTGCTACCTGTGTGTACAGATCAGCAGGTGCCAACCGTGCCACCCTGGCAACAGGTACACTGACCTGGCAAAGACCCCCGTGTGGACCCTCTGCATGACTGTGGACCAACCCAGCGATTGTGCTGCTCGTGTCTTGGACCCCCCCCCCCGCTCCCCGACACTGAGACCCCCTTCCAGCGTACAGACCTAGGGCTGTCGCCAATAAATATGGGCCACGCACCGTAAGGTAATGCCAACTCCACCTTTTGCAATTTTTATGAGTTTATTTAACGCTTTGATTGCCAGCGATTTTTAATGAGACGGGCCGGCAGAGATGGCACGGATTTGGTAGAGACGGGAGGTGATTTATACCATAAAATTCTGGTTAGTAAGGGACTTGTTGATTGAAGAATTAGGGAGGATATATTTAGGGCATTCGTCTATTGATGGTTTTGATTAGAAACCGGACAAATCAGCTAACTAATGGTTTCCTTATGCGCGTGCGTTTTGCGTTTACAAATACATTATATTTATAGGAAAATGCTTTTTCTTGAATGATTTCAGATGGCTGTCATTCATTTATTGGTGGTAGGAATGGGCACCAACCCAGACAGAATTAAGGAGATACCTCTCCGCTTTAAATATTGACAACTGTATCAAGGGAATTCTATCCTTTTATGCGTAAATATTACATTTATATGCTTATAAATAAAATATTCTCATGATTTGGCAATAGAAAAGCTACCGAACAGTCATTCGAATTCTTCCTGGGAAACTGACGTAAAAATGAGATTCTCTGGTTTGACGCTGGGCTTGCAATCTATTCAGTCGGTACAACCCTTTTGCCAGCCCCCCCTTTAACCCTTTTGCCTACAGTGCATTTAATTTTCTTTAAGGCCCATGTAGCCTAGATTGGGTTAATGTCTGCACATTGATTGAATTTTCTCCAAATTCACCAAGGTCTGCATTGAAACTAGCGCTGTGTATACATTAGGGACTTATATAATTCAGATCCCCAACATGTACAATGATTGACCAGGGTCTGCGCTGCTAATGAGGCAATGTTTATCTTTTGCCCATTGTGTTAGGTTTCGGCATGGGTAGCAGAGTAATACATAGTGAGATGACGACTTGACAGAAGAGCTTGCACTCTAATGTGGGGTGCCTTAAGAGACCACAAAGGTGAAAATCACTCAAGGTCATCACATGACGGATAGAGCAGGGTATCATCTCGATATTTTTGAAAGTACGAAGGACGCTGGGTATAGACGGAGGGACAAAGGACATCGCTATATAGAGTCAGAGTAGAATGCCAGTCTGCTGTTACACAGTGAGACAATAGCCTAGACCATTGTCTGTTTTTATAGAGAGGCGCAATTGCAACTTGCACATGGTATAATTCGGAGAGGACAATAAAATGCCAATTATAGCCTTTTATGTTAAGTGACATTTATGGGCGATCACTCAATGATGTAATTTTTGCAGGAGACCAGCGACAGACCCAACTCTCTCTGCTTTTTTTTTATTGTAGGGGCGATCTATAGGGCTAAGTGACCGAAAGGTATTTTCAAAGCCCGTCTAAAAAGGCCTTCGCTGCTCCTTACGGCTATTAAACGGCTTAAAACGGGGTCCCACGTAGAGCTTGCCTATAATCCTAACGCCTTAATTTGTCTCAGTGGAGATTTTATGTAGCCTTGGGGAAATAGGGTGCGGGGCCCGCCCTCTGATCCCCCTGTAAAACAAGAGGCTGCAGACAAAACATTGTAAGAATAATAGAATGGTTTGCAGTAGAATCTGCTGGATCGTTCGCCAGGGCCTGTGCCAAACTGTCTGCTCTATTGAGGTCTGCCTTTTAAATCCAAAGAGTGTGCTATGTAAGTGGATTCTCAGTGAAGTAAAATCACCTTTCTTTAGCATGGTGAATGTTCCCTAATTTAATCCCCTTGTTGCCAAAAACGCATGCAAGCAGGATCCTATTTAAAATAACTGCAGGCAGTCAAATGGTTAAGGTCCAACCGTACCCAAATATATATTGTGGTTTGCATATAGGCACGGATTGTGACGGCAGGTGTGCACGGTTTGGCCCACCCTAGCTGCATTGTTCACTTGGCTGAGGACTATCCTATTTCGTTGTCGTTTTTTAATGGGTCATCATTTTCCTTTTTAGACTTCCTTAACAAATCTCTTCCTACATGGCAGGGAGGCGGTTCTGTGTATCTACAACACCATAAAAATATCATGTAACCTTAAAAAAAAAAAAAATTATTATAATAGTGAAACAATTTTGTATTGGCTATCTCAGTACCCCTTTAAAAAGTCCACATTGGTCTCCACTAGTTTTGGGTTATTATCCCCCCCATCCCCCCTTCTATAATCAGGACTGGTTTAAGAATGTATGGACAAGGGTTTTCAATCTGTTGTCCAGAAGAGAATTCATGGAATTGTATAGTGCCATTGCAAGGGGCCCAGTTTGGTCAGCCCTGATGTAGGCAGAATAGTTAAAGAGGAACATCAATATGTTAATTGGTGAACATTGCCCTTTCTCTCCTCCCAGTGAGCTCTGCCGAATGTTGTCTTTGGGCGAGGATTGCAACTTGTATCAAAGCAAACTGTGCCGCACATTATCATGATGGTACACCATGGTATGCATTCATATTCATTCACTACAAGCAGAACAATGGGACTTTATTAATTTGCATCAAATGCCAGGCTGTGCCAGGACAGTCTTACATTTGACATTTAATCCAAAAATAACATTGACAGTTGTATTAAATGGAACGTACAAGTAAATTAGAATTTTTAATGAGTTATTAAAATGTGTTATTAACTTCGCAGTAACAATTCCTGTTTAATTCGCCTTCACCGGATGATGCTTCCTGTTGACCCAGGGCTATGAAATAAATTAACTTTTAAGGCAGGAAACCATACAGGTGAGAATATGATAGCTTTTTGCATTTTTACTCCTGGGAGGAATTTTTTCTCCGTCGTTATTTTGTATAAACAATCATGGGGTTTTTGGAAAAGTATTCCTTGCTGGGTGTGTTTTTGCAACTAAGCCAACTTTGATGACTGACGATTTGAATGTCCTTTTTAGAGGTATTACTACGTCACACAAACTATATATATGATGTCACTACTTCAGTCCAGTGTCTTGAGATGGTTTGATCACTGTTGCCAGACTGAGTTTCTTGAGCTTTGCAATGGTATTAAATAAAAACGTGATTATTACTGTATGAAAACACGTGGTCTTTTCTGATCACGGCATAGCTTTTTTTATTTTCCTAATCACACTATAGGCAGCAGGCTGGTTTTAGATTTTAATGGGATATATATATATAAATCCAAGATGCTTGCACTCCAGGTATATAATGACTGTGATGCCCGGTGCGATTCCAGCAAAAAAAAACATAGGTGTCCAAAAAAACGGGTCTTTGTAAAGTAAAAATGTAACTTTTAATTCATATACAAAATAAAACAAATTAACATCAACGTTTCGGCTCACATCTGGAGCCTATCTGCCATCCAAGAAGGCTCCAGATGTGAGCCGAAACGTTGATGTTAATTTGTTTTATTTTGTGTATGAATTAAAAGTTACATTTTACTTTACAAAGACCCTGGACTTGCTATTAGTCCAACTGATTTTGGGTCCAGGTCTGGCATGTCTGGTGATTGGGATGACTAATAGAAAACTGTTCGAATTATTTGCTAAAGTTAGAATTTCAAGTGATCTCACAGCAAATCTCACGTAAGACCAGATAGAAAACCTGGAGTTGACTTAGATAATTTTTTTCCAACTTGGCTATTTTGACCTTAAATTAGAAATCCACTTTGAATTCTCTGCTTACTGAGTAATCCTTTATCTGTCACACAAGCATCTCTGTGCTCTGCAGTATATAGAATTCATATGCTGCAGGAAGGAACTTGATTAGGAAAGGACAAATCCCAAAGTGGTGTTTCTCCTCCAGTATATGAATCCTGCTTACTGCAAGGCAGCACTTTTCCTTTGCTGGCCATCAGCTTGAAGATGTGCTATGTGTCCGGGAAAACAAGGTAAATCAGACATGCCTAAAGACACTTCTAGCCACCAATTTGTCATTAGGAAATGTATCTGTTTTTAATGCAACAAGGATTTACATCTTGTAGATACAGGGAGCAAAATTCTCCTGGAAATTCTGTATTTGTTTTCTAGAAAGTCCTGTGAAAAATGATTTTTCCCATCAGCTTATACTCAACACTGCGGTTAAGATTAGATTGCATGCCCTGCATTCAGACAAAGACTGATAAAAGAGTAGCCTCTGATTTAAAGGGGCATACCAGGCACCATAACCACTGAGTTGTATTGTTAAAAGTATGCTCAAGGAATGTTATGGGTGCTGTCCTTCTGATTTTTGTCAGACAGTTTTTTTTGTTTCTATTTTTAAAGGGATGATCTAAGCACCATATTCACTAGCGCTCACTGTAGTGGCTATGGTGCCTAGATTCCCCTGGCATCATCAAACTGTATGTAGTCAAAAATGTAGGAATTAAACCGGCTGAATAGGTTATGGTGCTAAGACATTAAGCTATTTGTAGAAAGAACTGAGAGTTTCCTGGCACCCAAAGACCACCCCTTGTTTCCTGAAATAAGGACATTTTGCCTGATGCATTCAGAATATTTGTATGGGTCAGTGGGATTCAACCACATTGTAGCACTGTTAACCCTTTAAGCAAACTGACACAGGATCCTTTTTTTACAAGAAATATTTGTCACTTCAGAGATCTATAGTGGCACCTCCTTCCTGTTCTTGGGTTTTGCGGTAGCACCTCCTTCCTGTTCCTGACTTTTGTGGTGGCACCTCCTTCCTGTTCTTGGGTTTTGCGGTAGCACCTCCTTCCTGTTCCTGACTTTTGTGGTGGCACCTCCTTCCTGTTCTTGGGTTTTGCGGTAGCACCTCCTTCCTGTTCCTGACTTTTGTGGTGGCACCTCCTTCCTGTTCTTGGGTTTTGCGGTAGCACCTCCTTCCTGTTCCTGACTTTTGTGGTGGCACCTCCTTTCTGTTTTTGGGTTTTGCGGTAGCACCTCCTTCCTGTTCCTGACTTTTGTGGTGGCACCTCCTTCCTGTTCTTGGGTTTTGCGGTAGCACCTCCTTCCTGTTCCTGACTTTTGTGGTGGCACCTCCTTCCTGTTCTTGGGTTTTGCGGTAGCACCTCCTTCCTGTTCCTGACTTTTGTGGTGGCACCTCCTTTCTGTTCTTGGGTTTTGTGGTGGCACCTCCTTTCTGTTCCTGGGTTCTGTAGTAGCTCCTGCTTCCTGTTCTTGGGTTCTGTACTGGTTCATCCTACCTGTTCTTGGGTTTGGTAGTGGTTCCTCCTTTCTGTTCTTGGGTTCTGTACTGACTCATCCTAGCTGTTCTTAGTTCTGTAGTAGCTCCTGGTTCCTGTTCTTGGGTTCTGAGGTATCTTCTCCTTCCTGTTCTTGTATTCTTTGGTGACACCTCCTGGCAGTTTTCAGATTCTGCGAATGGCACTTCCTGACAGTTTCCAGTCTCCCTCCTCGATGTACGTAGCTCAGACTCTCCACAGATGTGATTTTAATCTGACCCAAAAGGAACTGGAAATCTTTCAATCCTCGTCAACTCCTGATCAGCTTTCAGCCTGCCAGTGTCCTTCACTGACAGCCATAACAGTCTACCACGTCTGCAGGTGCTATATACACAAAGCATTAAGCTATAGTGCACCGCATCCATCTCTGTTGCCATATTGCTTTCTACATTAAGACCAGCAACTACAACTGCCTGGTCCCAAACCTGGTTGAGCCACATGTGTGGTGGGAGATACCCCAAACTGGGTACCTGCAGGGGCTTTTGTTTTGTTTAACTCCATTTTAACCCTTTGTATCCCCATGGGGTGAAAAAACAAACAAAACAATTAATAAAAATGCAAAGGGGAGACTGTTTAATAAGGATAAGTTAAATCTGTGATAGCGTGTTTACGATTCAGTCTAAAATGTGACCGCAAAGAGATACATTCCCAACTCACCATCTGGGTTATATAGTTGGACCCACGTGTAGGGGTCTGAGCCAAATTCAAGGAAGGACTGTGAATCATCAGAGGGCTGTTACATTCCCACCCAATTCAGTAACCCCTTCGCTCTCTAAATGTGTATTCACCCCCCTACAAAAACGCATTTATTAAATATTTGTGGCTGTGGTGTTTTTTAGTTTGTTATAGTGGAAGATATGGAACCAAGGAATAGCAAATTGTAGGCTCAATTGCTGAGCAAGAACAATCACTAAATAGTAAAACTTCTCCAGGTCTGTTGGAGCTTTATTTTGGTGTAGAATCCGTGGTTCCCTTGCCAATTCTCCACACCTTCCAGCATAGTGAATAACTCCACTGGTTTCCATACTGGTTCACTTATTATGGGGTTGACAGTATTATTTATTATTAACATGTGGCCACTGAAACAAATAACGATTTTCTTCACTGACAAATATTTTAAGGGGCACTCCACGTGCCATGACCACTTTTTAGCTTGTTATTGTGGTTAGGGTTAATTTTTTGGTGAGATTTGTCACTCTTGGCACCCAAGCTCCGCCCCCTTTCTAACTGACATCTGATGAGGAAGTCTATCTTCCCAGAACTTGTATGGCACAAGCACACGCAAACCATTGAAGCCCATTTCCTTCTAGTACAGGGGTTGTACAGTGAACATGCATGTTGCCTACCAGGCTCAGTGCACTGCAATCACATGGCAGTTGTTGCAAATGAAGGGGATTGACATGCGTGAGCAGGTTGTACATATACTTGTATGGCTTAATAGGGAAGCTAGATTACCAATATGACATTAATGAGAAATTAATGGATTCCAGACACTGGGGAAGACGCTCAAAACCTCAAAAATGGAAAAGATAATGGTGCTTGTCCAGTTTGGAACTCCTCTGCATCTATTCACAGGAAGCTTGATAGATTGTGATGATAAATGTAGTGAACTAAGTAATTTATCATCAATATTGTCTCGATTCATACCGACTAATTTTCTCCAAATTTGGATAGGAAAATTCGGAGCTTAGAGGATAAGCTCCTGTAGGTTTTATTCATGTGGAGCCCTGTAATAAGCTCATGACCATTCCAGTGAGTTTTATTGTATTGGAGCTCTGTGATTCAGTCATGCACTGCAAATTACTGTGAAATATATTGCAGTGGAGCTCTGAGATACAAATGGACAGATAAGATAAAGCAATATAATTAACGAGACAATTAAGGTAAATAAAAATGCTGCCCCACCCAAAAAAAAAATCACAACCTGTAGAACTTTTTATTCTCGCTTTACTGTATGTTAAGCATTCAGAACTGTAAACAATATACAATTTTTCTAGTATGCATTTAGTATCTGCCTGTGGTGTATGTGGTGTTCTCTCCGGCACGTAAGTAACTTTATTAGCTGTCTGTTTACCATTTTTATTTTTAGTTAATCTGCAGTACAGTTCTGCTTTATGTTCTTTGTTAGAATTATTTGCTATTTGTTTGGCTTTCGAATAGTTGCAGTATTCTCAAAGCTCTATTTCCTGGGTTCGGTGGTTGGTTTGTTCAGTTTGATATTTATTCATTGCCTGGTGTTTGTTTAAAGGGTTATTTGAAACATTATAATTACTAGAGCCTGTTGTAGTGTTTATGATGACAGGAGTACACGGGGACGGTTCCCCGGTAATAGGGCAAACTGTTTAGTAGTTCTGGACTAGCAGGTGAGAACACAGTGACACTAGTGAAGGTAGCTTTACTCTTCTAGTAACGATAATCTCCGCATGCAGAGTTTCACAGCGAAAGAATACACAAACATTCCAGGCATCACGACCACTTCAAATCAATGAATTGGTCATGGTGCTTTTAGTAACCCTTTAACAATTCTCATTAATTGAGACATTCTCTTTAGAAGGCCCACGAATGAGGGCATCAAGAAGGTTAAAAACTAGTTTGTGTTTTTTGCCACAGGATAGCAGGCTATGTTGACAGCAGTTATACAACTCATGTGGAACTCATTCTTACTCCTTCAGTGACCACAAGTCTTAACGTCCTGGTAAAATATACACTTTGGTATGGCTTCGACATGGTGTGGTGGTAGTACTTCCTCCAAAAAATAGAAATCTGATCCTTTTTTTAATTTCATTTTTTAGGTAAGAATTTTTGAAGGTTGGTAGGTTTAGAGTTCTCCAGTGGTAGCTAGACTTCAGTGGTTCAAAACGCTGTGGGCCAACTTCCCAGTTGCTGGGGTTTAAACTTTGGTGATCGATAGGGTTTTTATCTGGAGTTCTTAAACTTCCTTCTCAGTGGAAGGTTTTCAAAACCAACATTCCAAGAGCGAAAGGAAAAAAAGAGACATCTTGAGAAATTATGTCTTGGATCTACTGAGACAAAAGGTTATTGTTCCAGTGCCAACTTCAGAGAATAGAAAAGGCTGCTATTCCAGGTTGTTCCTGGTGAATAAACCCTTAGGCCAATGGAAACCAATGATGGGTTTGCATCTAGTAAATCCTTACCTTCAGATTCAGCAATTTTGCATAGAGTCCTTGTCAAACGTTTACATAGATTTACATGCGCCTGTCAAGTTCTGCCTTTCTCGCAGCTATTTTGCTATTGACCCAAAAGAAGACCCCCCACTACCCCTCCAACAAAAAAAAAAAAAATTGAAGCACTTTCCAGTTTTGCAACAAACTAGAAATACATTCCTTCCTGACCCCAAAATGGCAGTCAGCTCTGTCCTTGGATCAAAAGGCTGTTACCCTACATATTCATAGGAATTATATCCCTCAATATTATGTTTTTTGCGAGTATTCATCCAATTGTTGTTTAAACATTGTCTCACTAATCAGGGCAGGGTGTTGATCTTGTAGGGTGTTCAGAATACATATTTCTACATCCCAATGTTCCGAGCACTGGCATTTGGTCACAGTAGGCTCCTTGTACCGTCACCAAAGAATTGCTTACCATTGTGGCAGATATCAGAAAACAAGGAGTACTTTAATTTCATTACCTGGCTGACATCTTTTTAGTGGTTACTGACCGGCACACATTATCTGTACACAGGGGTCAAGTTGTCCAAGTCTTAACCCATTTTTGTTGGTTCACCAATCTTACATTTTTTTAAAAAAAAAAGCTAGCTCACTCCCAAAAGAATGGATTTTTGGGAGCACAATGGGACACTGTTCAGGCTATTGTCTCTCCGTAGTAGGAAAGAAGATGGTATCCAAAGTGACTTTGTTCCTTACGCTGAGGCTAATGTCAGCAGGTCATCGAGCTTCTCCCTGGTCAGAAGTTCATAGTGAACAATTGGGAACTAATTCTGAAAAACAGAATCTTCATTGGTGGCTTTCAATAAAAAAAAAAAATTCTGATAGAAGAGATAGAGTGGAAGGTTGTAACAATGGACCCCAGTCATCTCAGTTTGGGAGCTCATCTCCGACACATGTTTGTCCAAAAACCTTGTTTCTAGCAAAAAGCAGTCTCTTCCCTCCAACATCAGTCTGCTTCTGGTTATATGAACCAGGATGGAACCAGGGGTACGTATCTATTGAAGGAGATCAAGCAATTTATGGACTATGCTCAAGATCCTACAGAACGATTGCAAACTCTCTAGCTGCCAGTCAGAGAATTTAGTAGAGGACTTTGGGGCTGGATAATAGTCAACTGGAATTAATGGAGTCTTTCAAGGAATGTTTTCTTGTCTCTGACAAGTGATGATTTTCACAGGTGGCTATAATGGCTTTGGCCAAAAATCACTTGGTTGCTCTTTATTATTCCAGAGGTTATGACCCACAGGTTCTAGCCCAAGATGAACTAACATCCAGATGGACATTGCAGCTGATATATTTTCCCTCAGGTTCCTCTTTATGAGTTTTGAATAAGAATAGGAAAGAAGGACTTCTGGTGATTCCCATCCTACCATATTGACCGAAGAGGTCTTGTAGAGGCCAACTTCAGAACCTCTAATACAGGAGTGCACAAAATGTAGATTCGCAGATGTTGTAGAACTACAACTCACGTGATGCTTTGCATGCCTTTAGAATGACAATGCATCATGGAAGCTGTCATTTTAAAACATGTGGGAATCCACTTTTTGGGCACCCCTACTCTAGTAGGTCTCCAAATGTCTCGAAAACAGCTGTCACAAGGTTCAGTGCCCAATCTTTATGAGAAAATGAAATTTCCTCAATTTTATCTATAGTTTGAGCTAAAATTATTTTAAAATTCTGTGCAGAGTTTGTTTTAATTTACGTATTGCTGACATGCATAAAAGCCAGGAAAAAAACAAACAAACTATATTAGAGATCAATCTTCACTTAAAGAGAAGTCAGTATGCACTGTTCCTTCATCCGTGTACATGCTGTTACAGAGAATACTGGCGTGATTACTGCAGCGGAGGTAAGTAGACAATGTACTTACCATCGCTGCCATTCTGTGTTGTGTCGATTTCACCAACCCATCAAGCCCACGGACACACACATGCGCACTCAGTCATGTCCACTCTGCATTTACAACAACAGTACCGTGTGTACATGCGCTGTGTGCACATCACACCAAGAGTTAACTTATTAATTAAATACATTAGAGCACAACTAACGTTTACTTAGCTGTTGGGCTGTGTTAACATTGAGGAAGTAAATGTTCCTTTTATGTGTGATTTACATTTTCCTTAATATTCTTTTTTTTTCTTACTGGAAAACAGAGGACGAGATTTAAATTTCATCTAATTTGAACCATTCCTCTGGTTTTCACTGGAAACATTACGTGGGTTTTGGGTGGAAAGGATGGGACTGGGTTCTGTTACACAGAAATATTGTCTCATACAGTTACTTAGCTAGTGCTCCCAAGGCAACAGATCTTTTTGGAAGAAACACTGGCTAGACGACAGGGGAAACTCTGGCCAGACTGGGTGTAAGCTTATTATGGAATTCTTATTATGGCAAGATTGATTGTCACTGGCCCTGTCCGTGTCAGAATGGGTGGGTAGGGTATTAGACCTTTTCTCTGGCAACCAATGGGTTAACATGTGCCGTAAAGTGGTAAGCCAACCTGTGAGTCCTTCACTAACACTTCCCTTGGCTGCTTTTAGTTCAGATGAACAATCTCTGAGACAGGAATGGGTTGTCGTATAAAGTCCTGCAAACTCCAATAATGTGCAGTTGAATACGCCCAAGAGTAATGGGAGTTTGAGCAAAGCACTCTGCTACTGATCTTTTCTTCCTCATTCCATACTGTCTGGTACTAATCTCTTCTTCCTGATTTCCTACTGGTTATAGTTGTGATATGTACATATATTATCTAAACAAGACACTCTATCTACATTAAATGTACATTGATCATTGATTAGCACCCCATGAGGTCATGAAGATGGGTTTTTAAAGAATATTCTATTCCCGTGATCTGAACAATGAAGGGTTTATAAAACCCGTTTCCCAGGTATCCTCTGCCCCAGTGGGCTATAATCTTGTGCAGGGGTAGGCATCCTTTCGACACTCCATATGTTGTGGACTACATTTCCCTTGATGCTTTGCCAGCATTACGGCTATAATAGCATTATGGGATGAGTAGTCCACAACATCTGTAGTGCCGCTAGTGAGGCATATCCCAAAGCAGTATAATGGGAGTCCCTGCTCGACACAAAGAGCTTACACTCTAGAATTATAATCTGTCAGATTGCAGTGAAGTGCTAACTATCTGATAGAATCTTTCCCAGTGAGCTCACAATCTAGTGCAGAGCCGGATTAAGGTTCCCAGAGCCCGAGGCAGGATGCCTCCCAGAGCCCTGGGGTCTGTTTCTGTGAGTCTTGTGTTTATGGAGGAGGCTGAGAGCTGTATGAGGTGAGGTGTGCCTGTGTGTGTTGGTTGTGTGCGTAGTGGCTGAGTGTTGTGTGTGTTTAGGAGAGTCAGAGTTCTGTCTGTGGTGCTCTGAGTCATTGAGAAGCGCTTTGGTACTGCGAGGGAGCTCTTAAATAGATCTTCACTGACAGTTGCAGAGCATGAAGCTCTCTGAGCAGGTTAGGGGGCTCAGGGTCAGCAGGGAGACCTACTCATCTCTGTTTCCTGATTTCCTACTGGTTTTATTTCCCTGCTCGCTGCTGATCTCTGTTTCCTGATTTCCTATTAGTTTTATTTCCCTGCTCGCTGCTGATCTCTGTTTCCTGATTTCCTATTAGTTTTATTTCCCTGCTCGCTGCTGATCTCTGTTTCCTGATTCCCTACTCGTTTTATTTCCCTGCTCGCTGCTGATCTCTTCTTACTGATTCCCTACTCGTTTTATTTCCCTGCTCACTGCTGATCTCTGTTTCCTGATTTCCTATTAGTTTTATTTCCCTGCTCGCTACTCACCTCTGTTTCCTGATTTCCTATTAGTTTTATTTCCCTGCTCGCTGCTTATCTCTGTTTCCTGATTCCCTACTCGTTTTATTTCCCTGCTCGCTGCTGATCTCTTCTTACTGATTTCCTATTAGTTTTATTTCCCTGCTCGCTGCTGATCTCTGTTTCCTGATTTCCTATTAGTTTTATTTCCCTGCTCGCTGCTGATCTCTGTTTCCTGATTTCCTATTAGTTTTATTTCCCTGCTCGCTGCTGATCTCTGTTTCCTGATTTCCTATTAGTTTTATTTCCCTGCTCGCTACTCATCTCTGTTTCCTGATTTCCTATTAGTTTTATTTCCCTGCTCGCTACTGATCTCTTCTTCCTGATTCCCTACTCGTTTTATTTCCCTGCTCGCTACTGATCTCTTCTTCCTGATTCCCTTCTCGTTTTATTTCCCTGCTCGCTACTGATTTCTGTTTCCTGATTCCCTACTTGTTTTATTTCCCTGCTCGCTGACCGAATCCTTCTTCCTGATACCATTCTGCTTTTTCTCCCCTGCATGCTTCTGATCTTTCCTTCCTCTATATTCATTGACTGCTTATTTGTTCTGAAGTAGTTTGTGTGTTTTGTCTGTTACTGGGCTCAACTGTCTTAGATGTGTAATAAGAAAAGAGCGTCAAATTTTTGTTGAAAATTACCAAACTGGAACAATAGCTGAGTTGGACAATTTTTTGTTTCAGTTTTGCTGTCTTAGCCTACAAATTGGAAATCCCTAGTCCATTCCAGAGTCTAGAGAATAAACCTTAAAGATCTGGGGTTCTTTGCAGAGGACCAAAATGTTGACCAAGCATCCCAAGAAAAGTGTGTGTGTGTGTGTGTGTGTGTGTGTGTGTGTGTGTGTGTGTGTGTGTGTGTGTGTGTGTGTGTGTGTGTGTGTGTGTGTGTGTGTGTGTGTGTGTGTGTGTATTATATTCGATCCATTTTAAATATTCAGTTACAAACAGACATATGACTCTAATGTAAACCAAAATATTATTTTATATAAAACAATGAAAGGACTGTATAAATTCAGGGTTTAATTGGTATTGTTAGGTATTGTGTTATGTGTACATCCTTTCGGCATTGGTTTTTAGATTCGGAGTCCTATAGGTATTGTGCTAGTTGGGAGCCAATAGGCATTGTACTAAGTTGGGGTCTATAGATTAAGGATATTTGAGGGTACTTTTGGCAATTTATTGTTTTGGGTCCTATTGGCTACGTGTTAGTTGCAGGTAGTCCATGGATAGTTGAGGATAACATTGCTTGTGGAGTTCTAATGCCGGTGGTTTAGAATTGGGTACAATCTGCAGTAGAATGATTAGTTTGTAATAGCCGCAGAGGGTTAGCCACTTTGGGTCCTGTGATATTTGATTGAATTGGCTTGTCTTTGGACACTTACATGGGAAGTGGTAGTTGCCAGCGTTGCTGTGAGATCCCCCATACAGTGCTTTGTACAAGTGGACAGTGTGTGGGAAGGTGTGGACTGTGTAAACATTGACTCTGAGAGCCTAGGAAGCATTTGGCTCTTTATTACCTACTCACTCACAATCTAAGTGCCTCCCACCCCCTTGCTTTTTGTCTTAAACAGGTCTGTGAAGAAATGCAGAGACACTGCTCCCATTAAGAGCGGAGAACGAGCTGTGCTTTCCACTGAACTGGTTCCGCTGGATAGAAACGGATTGACTCAAAGATCAGCTCATGCATTGGGGTGATGCCCTGTGCCTTCCTGAGACCCCATCACCCTGTGCGCCAAGACTGACTGGACACTACCCGGGGGCAATCTGACATTTCCATTTATTTTTTATTACATTTTATAATTTGTGGAGCGTTGGGACAGAGTGGAGATTCCCGTGGTGATCTCCGAATGCCGCAGGAACGGCCGGGTAAATTTCCCATCGCTGGGTTCCTGTGTTTAGGGGGCAGATCTGTGCTATGCATTGGTCCCTCTGGTTTTTACCTCTCAGCCTGTTCACCTGCTGCACTGAAGGTAAGTGTCCCTCTTTAAATTAGATTAAAATAACCTAGATTCCTCTAAACCATTAAGAACCAATGACATGTCATGTTGTCACCACAATCTGATTTCTAAAGACTTGTGTGGTGCGTCCTGCTGATACACAAGGCAGAATTAATACGTCCACATTATCAGTTGTCAATTTCAATTTGTCAATTTTGTCTAACCTGGCAATGCAGTTTGTGTTCTGTACTCATAAAGTTCATTCATTTAACTGTAGCTCTTTATGTAACTGTGCCTGGTGGTCTCTGCATCAAATAATATGTCCCGTGCACCTGTTATAGATCTACCTGACAAGTTGCTCCTTTGTGAATTGTACCATGACTGGTGCAGGACTCAGGGGCAACTGTAAAATTGATTTGTACGATAGGATTTCTAGTGAAGGGGGGTTTATCAGTAACTGTTTAGCCTTTGCAGGGCAGGTAGATAAAAATGTATATTTTCAAATATTTAAATATTAAAATCTACGGAGCAGTTCTAATCGAAGATCAAAATATAGTCTTGATTAAATATAATTTTATAGGTGATGTGGCTGCTTTAAGATCATTCACAAGCAGTCACTGATTGTATAGCAGAAACTTGCTTGTCCACCTGCAGAGAGTACATTTGACATCTGACCTGTTACACCTGTACTTCCTGTCTGCATCCCCCTTCACTACACCCCCCCCCCCTTTTACTGTTCTTTAAAAGCAGAACAGACATTCTGAATGGCCACTAAAAAGATCAATATGGCTGTCAACGGCAGATTATTCATTTAACAAGATGAGACGAGCAATCACAAAGTTTGAAATTTAGCAAAAATTAAAAATAAAAATAAAATAAAGGCTATTGTGGCTTAAAGTTTGCAACTTCATTTTACACCGCTGTGTGGGTAAATCCAGTAGGGATTTACAAATTGTGCAGTGATTAATAAAATAACTTAACGCTTCTGTGGACGCGGTCACAGCTCAGCTTAGTACATAGCCTTGTTCTGAAACATGCAAGACCGGCCCTGTTAATATGTAGCTCATTTACCTGTACCATCCCTGGTGAAGCTTGTCACGGCAACAGGAGCCTTAGTAAACTATTATCAGCTGTTGTCTCCCGTTTCCTAAATTATAGGCCTGCTAATTCCCCAAACAGAGCTAATCCTGGCTCTGTCAATAACACCAGCTGGGATAGGGAATGTGTCTAGTCTACAACAAAGATGAATGAGCATTATTCACTAAACAAGGAGCGTTGAGGAAGGATTTGCAAATTTTAGTTCGAAATTGTCAGACTGGAAAATTTGCCAGTTATCTTCCATACTGATTATTTTGGCCTGAGATTATCAACCCTCTTGACAGTTTCACACAATAGCCAGTTTTGGTGAATAAAGGTCTAAATGTGTAATGGACGGCAATTCTGAATCGTTTGATAAAGGTTCTGTATGTCGGCTGACTCTCGTAAAAAGCCAAACTTTGAATATTTGTGGTATACGTTCCCTGATGCATTTTTAACAGAGAAATGTGATGCTTATCGTATACCCAAATGCCATCTGCTTATTTGTAGCATTCACTAAACCTGGACTTGTCAAAAAGAACTGAACTTGGAACATTTTCAAAACTTCAAAGTATATTTGCTGCCCAGCTAATTTAGCCCAAACTTGACGTAATTGATGTATAAATGACCTGTTGTATTCTTGTATGTCTCGTTTTCTTTTTATTAAAAAAAAAAAAAAAATTCTTCAATTTCTTTCTCTCAATCTCTGGAAAGTAGTCTGGTGACCAGACACCGGAGGACAACTTGTCATTCCCAGGAAGTAAAAAATAAATGAAATACGGTTCTAAAACATGTGCAGTGCCAAGGTTAGGTTTGCTGATTACCCCACACAGATTGCAATACCTTCCCTGGCTTTCTAACAGCTATGTCTCTCCCGTGCAGGTACCATCCGATCAGACGCCCAGACGGTGGTTGGCCGCATAGGGGAGAGCGCGGTGCTGGGGTGCAGCCTGCTCCTCCAGGACGCGGGGCGCCCTCCTCTCTATGTCATTGAGTGGGTGCGCTTTGGTTTTACCCTTCCGATCTTTATCAAATTTGGTCTGTACTCCCCCCGCGTGGACCCGCAGTACCTAGGTGAGCCCTCTTTCTTTATATCTATTTAAAATATATGTTTACAGTTCAATAAACCGCATGCATGTTACCTATTTTAACTTAATCTTGATTAGCTGCAAATATTTTGTTACATTTAATCTTTGCAACATGGTACTACTGGTGCAATACTCACGGTTTGTCCTGAATAAGTCTCATCAATTATTATAGTGAAAGAAAAAAAAAAAAGCAGTACTTCCCCTTTAAATGCACAGTGTGTCTTAGTGCGCCTATACATTGTATTGTTTTATCGGGCACCTGTGTGTAACATGTATCTATAGTGGCTGCAACTATAATCCCATTCCTAGGCCAATTGTGACGTGATCCTCGCTACACAGTGCGAGATCCCTATCTGTCATCAGAGACCGAGGATGGGATTACAGTCAAACACAGGCCTATTGTTTTCTACCTGTTGTAGTCATAGAGTCGGTCTAGCTGGACAGGAGGGGCCTGGTGTGGGAGGAATGCTAAAGCCGGTGTTGTTTTTTTATACTCAAAGTGTGGTTCACTGACGTCCATCGTGGGTCATTGGTGGTTAATGACAGATCTGGCCGCATTACTTGCTACAGATATTCTCAATGAGCCTGTTAGTCTGATAGTGGCTGCTAGGGCTACGCTGTAACATTTTCTGTTTATTATTCTATAATTACAGCAAGCCGTTTCATACACTTTATTGACATCCGTGTGTCTGAACTTTGTTTGGGTCCCTTTTTTTAGACCAGTATCTGTAATGTTTTCTAGAGAATGACACCAGGAGGCCTTGATCCATCAGATAACTTGTTCTATAGGTTTATTTATCTCAATCTCAGGAAACTAGTCTGGTGATCGGTCACTGGATGAAAAACTCGTCATTCCCAGGGAGCTTTAGATCTTACTGAGGTCTGTCGAAGGGCACAATTTAACATCTCTTCACAGTGTGATTATACTGAACTATTAATTATCGACTGATGTGATAACTTCTTAGGTACATTTATAAACAGTTTTATTACTGATACAATCATACACATAGTACATTACTGTGAGTTCTATTAGTGTGAAGCTCTGTGATACAATCATACACATAGTACATTACTGTGAGTTCTATTAGTGTAGAGCTCTGTGATACAATCATACACATAGCACATTACTGTGAGTTCTATTAGTGTGAAGCTCTGTGATACAATCATACACATAGCACATTACTGTGAGTTCTATTAGTGTGAAGCTCTGTGATACTCTCATACACATAGCACATTACTGTGAGTTCTATTAGTGTGAAGCTCTGTGATACAATCATACACATTGCACATTACTGTGAGTTCTATCAGTGTGGAGCTCTGTGATACAATCATACACAGCAGATTACTGTGAGTTATATTAGTGTGAAGCTCTGTGATACAATCATGCACATAGCACATTACTGTGAGTTCTATTAGTGTAGAGCTCTGTGATACAATCATACACATAGCACATTACTGTGAGTTCTATTAGTGTAGAGCTCTGTGATACAATCATACACATAGCACATTACTGTGAGTTCTATTAGTGTGAAGCTCTGTGATACAATCATACACATAGTACATTACTGTGAGTTCTATTAGTGTGAAGCTCTGTGATACAATCATACACATTGCACATTACTGTGAGTTCTATTAGTGTAGAGCTCTGTGATACAATCATACACATAGCACATTACTGTGAGTTCTATTAGTGTGAAGCTCTGTGATACAATCATACACATTGCACATTACTGTGAGTTCTATTAGTGTGAAGCTCTGTGATACAATCATACACATTGCACATTACTGTGAGTTCTATCAGTGTGGAACTCTGTGATACAATGATACACAGCAGATTACTGTGAGTTATATTAGTGTGAAGCTCTGTGATACAATCATACACATAGCACATTACTGTGAGTTCTATTAGTGTAGAGCTCTGTGATACAATCATACACATAGCACATTACTGTGAGTTCTATTAGTGTGAAGCTCTGTGATATAATCATACACATTGCACGTTACTGTGAGTTCTATTAGTGTGAAGCTCTGTGATACAATCATACACATAGTACATTACTGTGAGTTCTGTTAGTGTGGAGCTCTGTGATACTCTCATACACATTGCACATTACTGTGAGTTCTATTAGTGTGAAGCTCTGTGATATAATCATACACATTGCACGTTACTGTGAGTTCTATTAGTGTGAAGCTCTGTGATACAATCATACACATAGTACATTACTGTGAGTTCTGTTAGTGTGGAGCTCTGTGATACTCTCATACACATTGCACATTACTGTGAGTTCTATTAGTGTGAAGCTCTGTGATACAATCATACACATTGCACGTTACTGTGAGTTCTATTAGTGTGAAGCTCTGTGATACAATCATACACATAGCACATTACTGTGAGTTCTATTAGTGTGGAGCTCTGTGATACAATCATACACATTGCACATTACTGTGAGTTCTATCAGTGTGGAGCTCTGTGATACAATCATACACAGCAGATTACTGTGAGTTCTATTAGTGTGAAGCTCTGTGATACAATCATACACATAGCACATTACTGTGAGTTCTATTAGTGTAGAGCTCTGTGATACAATCATACACATAGCACATTACTGTGAGTTCTATTAGTGTAGAGCTCTGTGATACAATCATACACATTGCACGTTACTGTGAGTTCTATTAGTGTGAAGCTCTGTGATACTCTCATACACATTGCACATTACTGTGAGTTCTATTAGTGTGGAGCTCTGTGATACAATCATACACATAGTACATTACTGTGAGTTCTATTAGTGTGGAGCTCTGTGATACTCTCATACACATTGCACATTACTGTGAGTTCTATTAGTGTGAAGCTCTGTGATACTCTCATACACATAGCACATTACTGGGAGTTCTATTAGTGTGGAGCTCTGTGATACAATCATACACATAGCACATTACTGTGAGTTCTATTAGTGTGGAGCTCTGTGATACTCTCATACACATTGCACATTACTGTGAGTTCTATTAGTGTGGACCTCTGTGATACAATCATACACATAGCACATTACTGTGAGTTCTATTAGTGTGAAGCTCTGTGAAACAATCATACACATAGCACATTACTGTGAGTTATATTAGTGTGAAGCTCTGTGATCCAATCATACACATAGCACATTACAGTGAGTTCTATTAGTGTGAAGCTCTGTGATACTCTCATACACATAGCACATTACTGTGAGTTCCATTAGTGTGAAGCTCTGTGATACTCTCATACACATTGCACATTACTGTGAGTTCTATTTGTGTGGAGCTCTGTGATACAATCATACACATTGCACGTTACTGTGAGTTCTATTTGTGTGGAGCTCTGTGATACAATCATACACATAGCACGTTACTGTGAGTTCTATTTGTGTGAAGCTCTGTGATACAATCATACACATAGCACATTACTGTGAGTTCTATTAGTGTGAAGCTCTGTGATACTCTCATACACATTGCACATTACTGTGAGTTCTATTAGTGTGAAGCTCTGTGATACTCTCATACACATAGCACATTACTGTGAGTTCTATTAGTGTGAAGCTCTGTGATACTCTCATACACATTGCACATTACTGTGAGTTCTATTAGTGTGAAGCTCTGTGATACTCTCATACACATTACTGTGAGTTTTATTTGTGTGAAGCTCTGTGATACAATCATACACATAGCACATTACTGTGAGTTCTATTTGTGTGGAGCTCTGTGATACAATCATACACATTGCACATTACTGTGAGTTCTATTAGTGTGGAGCTCTGTGATATAATCATACACATAGCACATTACTGTGAGTTCTATTAGTGTGGAGCTCTGTGATACTCTCATACACATAACACATTACTGTGAGTTATATTTGTGTGGAGCTCTGTGATACTCTCATACACATTGCACATTACTGTGAGTTCTATTAGTGTGAAGCTCTGTGATACAATCATACACATAGCACATTACTGTGAGTTCTATTAGTGTGGAGCTCTGTGATACACTCATACACATAGCACATTACTGTGAGTTCTATTAGTGTGAAGCTCTGTGATATAATCATACACATTGCACATTACTGTGAGTTCTATTTGTGTGGAGCTCTGTGATACAATCATACACATTGCACATTACTGTGAGTTATATTAGTGTGGAGCTCTGTGATACAATCATACACATTGCACATTACTGTGAGTTCTATTAGTGTGAAGCTCTGTGATACTCATACACATTGCACATTACTGTGATTTCTATTTGTGTGGAGCTCTGTGATACAATCATACACATAGCACATTACTGTGAGTTCTATTAGTGTGAAGCTCTGTGATACTCTCATACACATTGCACGTTACTGTGAGTTCTATTAGTGTGAAGCTCTGTGATACAATCATACACATAGCACATTACTGTGAGTTCTATTAGTGTGAAGCTCTGTGATACTCTCATACACATAGCACATTACTGTGAGTTATATTAGTGTGAAGCTCTGTGATACAATCATACACATAGCACATTACTGTGAGTTCTATTAGTGTGGAGCTCTGTGATACTCTCATACACATAGCACATTACTGTGAGTTCTATTAGTGTGAAGCTCTGTGATATAATCATACACATTGCACATTACTGTGAGTTCTGTTAGTGTGAAGCTCTGTGATACTCTCATACACATTGCACATTACTGTGAGTTCTATTAGTGTGGAGCTCTGTGATACAATCATACACATAGCACGTTACTGTGAGTTCTATTAGTGTGAAGCTCTGTGATACAATCATACACATAGCACGTTACTGTGAGTTCTATTAGTGTGAAGCTCTGTGATACTCTCATACACATTGCACATTACTGTGAGTTCTATTAGTGTGGAGCTCTGTGATACAATCATACACATAGCACGTTACTGTGAGTTCTATTAGTGTGAAGCTCTGTGATACTCTCATACACATTGCACATTACTGTGAGTTCTATTAGTGTGGAGCTC